TGAAAGACGTCAAGATAGTCCCCAAAAGCACACATGATAATTAATGAAGCCGCCGGACGTGGTACATGCGCATTTTGTGGTTACAATTTTGAACACCGCAAGTAGCTCTAGGTCTTGTTCATTTTTGACCGTTGTGAAAAGCCGTCAAGCAAAGTCTTTTGTGCAATCCAAACACACTACTCACAAACATGAGTCGTAATTCACAACCCGCGGCCCTAAAATAGATACGCAAACACTCTGATATTCAGTAAGATAAGAAAGAAGCTGTCCAAACCAACAAAAGTATTTCTGACCGAAAATACGAAACCGCGCACGAATAAGGCTTATTATTCGGTGCCCTTTGTTTTTAGACGTTCTGTTTCACTACTTAGTCACTACTCATTCCTATCATTCCATTTTCCGGTTGACACGACAGCGAATCAACACACATTGAGAGCTGGGTGACCTGTACCTTCAGCTGAATGCAATTGGTAATTAAAGGAAGAATGAAAGGTCATACTTCGATAAAAAATGACAGTGATCGGATAATCAAGAGAATTGAAAGTGTACCTGTTTGAGGGCTGATAAAGGCATTTCGGCTTCTTCATCTCCCCCCACCGATTGTGACTTAACCGAGCCGTAAGCCGAACGCCGAGGACGTGGCTCCGATTTGACCTCACATGGGAGAGCTTTCGAGCGTGGCTTTCGCTGATCGAGAGAAGCACGTGATGGTGTGCTACTTTCTCGCTTCGTCCTGATTCGAGCACCACGAGCGGTTGAGGTTGCGTCGGTTAACGAGCGAAGACAGTCGAGAAACGGTTGTTCGTAATCTTGCAAAATTGAACGGACATGAACCCGCGAACGTTTATCCCACGACGTTTTGCTTTTTGAATTCGCGGTAGTCTGCGAGGCATCTTGTAAAGCATTCCAGAAGCCAACCAGCCATGAGATAAAGTGTCGTTGATGATAGACTTTGACAGAGACTGCAAAAAAACAATACCAATTAGAGAAAAACATTGTTAAGGAAAGGAAAGTGCACGATGATGAATAAAATCCCAGCTCCCGATACCGTAATACACCTTAAAAGACTGCATCCGACGTGGTTTCATTTTGCCGAAAACAAGAAGCTCGTGGAAAAGGAACAATGTAGTGCATTGAACTCTGTGTAACAGAATCGTCAGAACCCTGAGCTTGAATGCTGTGTGTAAACAAAAGAAATTTGGAGATTGGTTAAACATACCATGGATATAAGAAGTGGAAAACACAACAGTTCTAATTCGCAGTCGACGGAAACATGATGAACCGTCGTTCGCAGAAATAGTAGAATTAATTACAAAAGGCCACCCGTTCACTTCTAACTCTTGTTTTATGTTACACGTTGTTTTATGGCTTATTTGAATTAAGCTGAATGCGAAGAACACATGTTTCTATCATCCCTACTGATAAGTTGCTTATATCAAGATGAAGGGTGGGATTTTCACCGAAAACTGCATCGGATATGCAAGGAGATATCAAAAAGAACATTAGGTAAGAAGACATTCAAACAAGCAGACGTCATTAGCGTGTGTCCGAGCTCTTGGTCACTAGAATGTACCCAATGGTCATGCGAGGCACTATTCACCTAAGGATAATATTCTGGGCCCATGTAGGGCAACTTGACGTGTTCGACGCCGCCGATTGCTGGTGCTAAAGAACAGACACAATTAATTACAGGAATATCCGGAACAAGATGGCAAGCAATATCACCAACAACGTGTCGCTCTTAATTGGGCACTGCATCTCTGGTCTGTAAAACCCGTAAAGTAATGGGGCTGTTCGAGACGAGGCGATGGCTGCTCGGTTGCCTCATTCACCCCTTATGGGAAACTTTGTCAGATAGAGCGAATGGGATAGAGGACGACGAATCTATTAATGGTGGATCGCTTTGACTATGTCACAGTATTATTGCAGCCTTTGTATTCAGGGTACGCCGGTCAAATGAAACCCCATCACTGTCGCTACTCATCCGCGTCTTTCTCGTGGTAAATCACCAATTGGGTGATCGATTTTCTATCCACAACATGGAGAGCAGCAACTTACATCGGTATCCAAGAGAAAAAAAACAAGCTGAAATCGTGAGAATGAATCAGACGACATAAGGTTGATTATCTTGGACGAGGCTAACTTTAGTCGTACTTACCTTCCGATGAAGGTTTAATCGGACTGATAGTAATCCCACATATGATGAGAGTCGGTCTCAGAAGACCGGCGATGTGCGGGACCAAGTCTGGGGTACTGCTATCTGCTTTTGTTCGTCTGTTGGATGAAGAGGTACGGCGTAAGACAGAAGACGGGTCTTGTTCCGGAAAGATAACGGGTTGAACTTTTGCCCATTGGAATAGGGAAATGAAAATATCCTCGAGCTGAAATGATAGCAGACATGGTACGAGTAAGCGAACGCATAGGTAATGTTGGATGAGAAGTGATGGAAACCAAAAGCTGGTGTGAATTGCGACGCAACAGGAAAGCAATTAACCAGAGCACTTTACAAATTAGGAGGATCGTCGTAATTTTGCTGCATGGTCGGAAACGGGCATCTGAAATACTATTGTGTATATATTTAGGATGAATGCACAGTTATTGAGGGAATATCCAGAACACTGAAAGTAAACAGTCTGTAAATGAATAAAGTACCCATATCTGACGATCTTCGTCCTTTCAAACTAGCCACATTTAATGTGCGTACTCTGATGCGTATAGGACAACAGGCGTATTAAACTCGCACGCTCGAAACCCTTGCCATCGATGTGTGTTGCATCCAAGAAACTCGCATTCAAGACTCCAACTCCATCATCCGATTGACGTTCCCATCTAACCAATCTGTGAAGTTTCAATTACGCCTTTCTGGGGACCCTGAGGCTGCGGCTTCCGGTCTTGCTGGCGTCGGCAGAGCTCTCGGTGAGAAAGCTGAGG